TCGACGTATGGGATGAAGGATAGAAGGTGAGCAGCAGAATTTATAAATTGTGATTGAATTTGTGTGTTTTTTTTTTTTTTTTTTTTTTTGGGGGGGGGGGGGGGGGGGTGGGGGTTAAGTCTGGTAACACAGTCAGTGACTAAAATCAAAGGGAGGACAAGCACATTCTTTAGCATGAAAGACTTCTCTTTGAGGATAATGGCTGTCAGACAACTCAGCTTGGATAATATGTTGAGGATCCACCGTAATTGGAGTTTGAGGATCTTTCCAAAGTATTCAGTTTTTTAATTTTGATTTTACTCAGTTTGCTTATTTATTGAAAGTAGATATGGTATCCATTCTTGTTGAGTTCTGGTGTTTATAGTTGTGATGATCTTGGGTTATGTTTAAAGTCAGTGCCATACCTTCCAAGTTCTTGGCTACCATTTTTAATTGCTCAAGTCTTTGATTGTGGTTTTCAATTTCTCTGAGTTTGAGGTGTTGTGATTTTTTCCAATCTGACCTGATGTTATGAGCATACTTTTTATTATTACTTCTTTGGTCATGTAAATGAGTTTAAAGTAGTTTCTGGAAAAGGGTAATAAGTGTGGTCTGATATATTTTGTAGTCATCTTTAGGTTTGACATGAATTTTAAAGTTCATATTGTATCCTTTGAGATCTAATCTAGGCATCAATGTCGTCCTTTATTATGCAGCATGTGAAATTTGCTTTCCAATTTTTCATGGCACAGTGAAGAATGTTTTGCTGTTTGAGCGACTATGATGTAGTTATGCACTTAAAATAGTTGCTATATCTCGGTTCAGTGGCACGTCTCTTCAGTCAACAAGTGTTTCGTGAAATTTTAATTGATTTGTGTGACTAATACACTTCCTAATTACAGATGCGTTGGTTCAACTTACAAGCTTTACAAAGTCTCCAGACACCTATCATGGACTTCATTACCAAGTTACCAAAAGATTGTTCAGAGGTTGTCACTAAAAGATTGAAAAATACATCATTTGGATATTGATAGTTCTGGTCTCTTCTTTCTTGCACATTGAGATGTACAACCTTGAAGCTAGAGAGGTTTATCCACCTTCCATTTTCTTGTTACTAATGTAGATTTAGTTGCTACTATCATCCGTATGAGCAATTCGACTAAATTTTTATATCGTAGAATATTCTCTCTTTGAGTTTTTGTGGTTAATACTAAATATGCTTTCCTGGTGCTCTGAATTTCTCTTGATTCTTACCCTGCTTATATTAGCCTCTATGACGTCATTGCATCATAGATGTCAATGTCCAGGTAGAGCAACTCTGTGATTGGAATATACTACTTAGACTATCGCTTCATTCGCTTGTGATTTTATTTTTCTTTGGCATGTAAGAATTTGTTAGATTGCTATCCAATACTTCTAAAGTATAAGTCTTATATTTCTAATATTTTTTTTATAACATACTTCGTTAATGGTATAGGATGTGTATTGGCAAGTGTGAAACTCATATCGCCCATAGCGAAGTAAGGCCCTATTCTCATCGGATTATTTTTAGTTCAGTTCAGCTCACTTCTAATAAGTCCGGTTCAGTTCAGCTCAACTCTAATAATTTAAGTTCAGTTCAGCTCATCTATAATAAGTTAAGTTCAGCTCAGCTCCTAACTTCCTTCTCTCATAAAATATTTAATTTAGTTCAGCTAGTTCAACTCAGCTCCTAACTTCCTTCTCTCTTAAAATATTCAATTTAGTTAAGCTCTAATAAGCTCATTTTAGTTCAGTTTAGCTCATTTTAGTCAATGAGATCGGTTCCTAGTATGGTTTGATGAATGATACAAATTGTGTTGATCTTCCGTGTCAGAATTTTCCATGAATGATGATGGACTAAAACTTAAATTAGAATTACCTAACTATTTTGACAAGAATCCTATGTCTTGAATGGTAATTAGAAAGAATCTTGGATTTTCTCAGTATAGTCCATGCTGATTCTATCACGTGGGAGGACGAGGACATATCCTTCTCTTCCTCCACCATCATTTGTCCAAGCATCAGAGAGGTCAAGCTGCTTCTTGATTTTCGTGTACACCCCTCTATTTATGGTTTATTAAATTAATTGTTAAATAAAGTACTTCTTAATCATATTTATTAAACAATTTAAGGTTGGTGATTGATTTTGTTGGTACACCTCAAACTAAAGTTGACTTATGGATCAAGCCAGTGACGGACCTAGAAATTTAACAATGGGGGACAATTTCGATAATTCAACTAATATCAACCTATTTAAAAAAAAAAAAAAAAAAAAAAAAAAAAAAAAAAAAAAAAAAACGGGTACACAATACAAGTAATTTGGGTTTGGTTGGGAAATAGAAATAAGGGAGTAGTCGAGTGGTATAGTTGAAATAAAACACCAAAAAAAAAAGGAGTGATGTTACAAAGGGGATTCGAATGTCATATTATCTTGTGATGTTAATTTCTTAGCAAACATTTGCTGAAGATGCTCGTTGCAGTCTGTGACTCTTGGCCGCATGGGTGGTGGTTCGTGCCTCGTGGTTGGGAAATAGGAATAAGGGAGTAGTCGAGTGGTTTGGTTAAAATAAAGGAATTTTTTTTATTTTTACCACCTCCGAAAAACAACTTAATTGTTTTTACCACCTCCATAAAAAAAAGTTTTATTTTATCACCACATAAAAAAATGAAAATTGACTTTTACCACCAATCACCGCCAACTAACGGATTCTGTCGATCTAGGTAAACCTGAAATTGGGCCCCTTGACATATTGTTTCTAGCTCACTACCAACATAGCTAAGGCAAACTTCTTGTTTATTCTTACACTCAATTTTATATAACTATTTTCCCAGTTTTATTTTTTTCCTAAATTTTTTTCCTCTTTTTTTTTTCCGAAAGTGGTGGGACAATGGTCCCCCCTTGTTCCTTCATGGGTCCGCCCATGGATCAAGCATATAACTTATGACTAGTCGAAGTTTTAGGCCGGAACCTCATACAGGTTATCCCAATTTGGGTTTCTTTAGTGACTTTTGATCCTATAAGCCTTGTTTGGTTATTTCTAAACTAAGTAGATAATGTCGTGTAATAAGCATGATTAGTACACGAGCATTCTCGTATAGACGTATCTCAAAGATGGAAATGGTATACCTTTGTAGGATGCGAAAGAAAACCCAAATGGTAAGAGATGAAAAGAAAGAAGACTGAAGTAGATTTGATTGTACATTAGTGAGTTCTTTTATCGAAGAATGCTTATACTTTTTTATGGTAAAAGGGAACTCTGATGAGGTAGTGCAGAAAAAGTAGATACATATGGGTGAAATTATGTGGCCAACTAGCAGCAAGCAGTGGTACCATTAGACATTAGTAGTGTAAGTGCCTTTTGAGCTATAATATTAATTCAGAGGTTCGTGAGCTTGCCATTAAATAAAGAAGAGTCAGTACCTTGTGACTTGTGAGCTTCTCTTACGAGTGGTATGAGGATGTGCTGTGTATTTTACTCAGTAGTGTTTACTGACAATCTTTTGGGCAATCAAAGAACCCTATATGACCTTTTATTGGTTACGACCTTGCCACCTTGGTCTGGTTGTCATATTATTTATACTGATTATTACGGAGCAGTGATTACTCCGTAACTAAGCACATTATCATTTGGATCTTGTTAGATTGATAGATTCATATCTACATGTATTTTTAAATCTGAATTTTAATAAATTCTTTAAGTAGCTAGAGATGTTACAGAATAAGTGAACGGGAATTATAAGTTTTGATCTAAACTAATCTGAAAATTTGGTCTAAATTAATTTGATTTTGTCAAGAATAAGTAACAAGAGTGTGAAATCAGTTGGAAAACAACAACTCCAATGTTTACAGAATTACAGAGCATATAATTGAGTTTGAAAACTTGCTCTCGATTGCACAACTTGCACATGGAGATTAGATCACAACTTTAAACGAAAGAAAGTGAGGAGATTTTCTCTGATTTGTTCTCCGATTCTCGTACTAGTTTCGATTTAGACTTGGATTTTTTTATGTATACATGTATTTTTAATTTTTGTATTTCAGATTTTCATCTTTGTGGATTTGTTTTACGAGATTGAAGAATGGACAGGATTAAAGGGGAGTTGCATGATCATTGGTAATTCCTATTTTGTTCACTATGACTTGCTACTTTGTCATAGAATTTTTTTTTAATACTTCCTCCCCCCCCCCCCCCCCCCCTTTTTTTTTTTTTTTTTTTTTTTTTTTTTTACATCATACAAGTTGGGTACAATAATTTTGGTAGTGGGAAAAAAAGGAAGAGATAAAGGTAAAAATACAAAAGTATTCATTTGATATAAACCTGAACTAAAGAATAAGGCCCTGTTTGATTCACCTTAATTTTGCTAAACTGAAATTATTTTTACTGAACTGAACTTAATTTTACTGAACTGAAATTATTTTTACTGAACTTAAATTATTTTTACTGAACTGAAATTATTTTTGCCGATTTTCTATTATAATTCTTCTTTAAGAAAACTGAATTTTACTGAACTGAACTTATTTTTACTGAACTGAAATTATTTTTACTGAACTGAAATTAATTTTACTGAACTGAACTTATTTTTACTGAACTGAAATTATTTTTACTTAATATTATTTTTTTAAGGTGAAGAGAACAGAGCCTAAGTGTGAAAAAGGTAAGAGTATGTTGAACATAGATAATTTTTGTCCTAAAATAAAAATGGTGCAATATTTGTGAAATTTCTTTAAAAGACAAACTATACAATGTTAAAATAACAGAGAATATACAAAAAAAAAAAAAAATTAAGAACGGAGAATATATACGTAGTACAGTATATATTTTAAATTTTTGTATTATGGATTTTTTTTTTTTTTTTTTTTAATTTTGTGATGGTCGTGACTTATGGGAGATGGTGACTTGGTGAGGCTAAGTCCAATCCACTCACACCTTTTACATATACTAGGGCAGCTAACGTGCGCGCTATAGTTATTTTTTTTGAAAGCCGATTAGTGCATTTTATTATATCATAGTAAGCAAATCAGCAAAAACATACGACGAAACCTCGCTAGGAGCGTGGTTTTCCCAACATTGTTCACAACCAAACGGCACTAACCTAGCTAAGTGGTGGGCTACAAAATTCTCATCACGCTTAACATGAGACCAAAACATGGAAGAAAAATTAGAACTACAAAAAACGATATCCTCAACAATACTATCAATGGTAGAGAGAGTACAAGAATTCTTCTTCAGCTTTGTAATCAAAATCTCAGAGTCTGATTCAATGATTATGTCCTTATAGCCATACTCCTTTGCCTTCTTCAAACCAAATAGCGCAGCCTTCCCCTCAGCAACAAGTGGATCCCATCTCGCTTGTACTCGTCTTACACCAGCAAATAACACTCTGCTAGAGTGGTCACGGGCGACAGCCCCCAATCTAACCCAACCCTCATCCTTTGTAGAAGCATCAACATTGATCTTAATCACGTCAGGAGGAGGAGGAGACCACACCACCCTAATATGAGCATGGGAGTGCACCCTTTTCCCGTAAATTTTCTCAGTATAGTTGCTGAAATCCACCACCAACCTGCTATGCCTTTCCTTTCCAGAATAATGTTGTCTGGCTCACAGGTATTCTCAAAGACCCACTTGTTCCGTCTGCACCAAATGAACCAAGTGAGGAATAAGCTCCTTTAATAAATTTCCTCACTCAGTTTACCTGCCCATACTAACACAAGATCACCAAAATTTCCAGCAGACGACATATGTTCAAGAGCTTCAGAGCAGCCACTTTGATGCCAAAGAACAGTAGCACTGGGACAGGAGATTGTGGCATGAATAATAGACTCTTTCTCAAAACCACACCACGGACAAGAAGGATCCTCGAGAAGGTGTCTATGCTCAAGTACTCCGCGGGTTGGAAGCGAATTAAAACAACACTTCCATATGAAGTGACGAACCTTTGGAGTAACCTTCAATTTCCAGATTTCAGCCCAATAGTTCTCAAAATTCTCGAGCATAAAAGACATACCCAAAATGTAGGCTGATTTTACCTCGTAATTTCCGTCTTTAGACCATGTGTTAGAATCCAACTCCTTTTGATGTATTAGATTCCATTTAAGTGCTTTCCTAGAGTTTAGGTTATGTTTTCTTAGCTTGAGGTCCCATTATTGTGTTACTGTCAGATCAGTGTTCACTGGGGATTCTCCTTGTATGTCATTTAAAGCTCTTTAGAGGGCGAATGATTAATGAAATCTTAAAGCCTTCTACCAAGTGTTGCCTTGCTTTTATGCTTGTTTGTTGTTAGACCTTTATAGATATTGTGTCTTACTTGCATATTAGCTCCCCTCCAACCCAACTTGATGCGCTAAGGACTCGTGGTTCGGACCCGCTTGTGCCCGCTTTGAAGTATCGGCCATCACAAGCCCCGACCACCCGCACTCCGTCGCCCAAATAGACGTGAGTGCTCCTGAGATTCTATTGCCCGCTTGTGTTGCTTTGTGCTCACAAGCCCCTCTTCCGCTCAAGGCTAGCGTTCTTGCCGCCAAAAGGGTAGAGCGCGCCGCACGTTTCGGGGTCCAAACTCCCGGACCGTGACAGTTGGTATCAGAGCCGAGGCTCAAACCTCGTCGCAAGCAACCCGTGTAGGCACCAAGGAGGGCTACACGAAGATGGAATTCGTAGAAGAAAGGCTCGCTTGGCTCGAGGAGAAGGCGGACAAATGGGCCGAGCTCCAAGTCATTGTACACGAGCAAGCCGAGCAAATTGTGAAATTGATGGCTGACAGAGATGCCCTCCGCGAACAATTGCAATTTGTTCAAGGAAAAGCCGACGAAGCACTTGAGAAATGTGCTACCTTAACGCGCGCTGTGGGCAGAGACGCACTGGGTGTTGGTGCGGCGAAGATAAAGCCGCCCAAACCTCGCGACTACAGTGGCGCTAGAGATGCGAAAGAAGTTGATAACTTTCTCTTCGACATGGAGCAGTACTTCCGAATATGTCAACTAAGTGACGATCAGAAGGTGGATACTGCCATCATGTACTTGTCCGAAGATGCTAAGCTGTGGTGGCGCACCAAGCACGCAGACATCGAAGTAGGAAGGATCAAGATTGATACATGGGCGGAGTTCAAAGAGGAACTCAAAGAACAATTCTACCCCGTCAACACAGCGTTTGTTGCACGGATGAAGTTGCAAGAGTGCCGCCAGAAGGGTTCTCTTCGCAACTATGTTAAGGAATACTCGGCGATAATGTTGGACATCACAGACATGAATGAGAAAGATCGTGTGTTCAACTTTGTCAACGGGTAAAGGAATGGGCGCAGCGAGAGATTTTGAGGCAGAATATTGATACCCTCGCTGCTGCTATGTGTGCTGCTGAGAGATTGATGGACTACTCAGTCGGGATGGGTTGTCAATTCGAGAAGGATTCAAGTGGGACGTCAACACGCTCTAACAGTTCGTCTCCAAGCTCTCCAAAGGGTACAGAGAACGGCTCATGAGTATCGTCCAACACCATTAATACATATCATAGAAGAAGTGGAGGAGTTGATGCCAAGAGACAAACATCTACCCCCTCCCACAACTCAGGAAACTCGAGGGCCGGCGCATCCTCGGCAAACACAAGGGCAATAAACTGCATACTTTGTCGAGGTCCACACAAATGGTGGGATTGCGAGCATAAAGAAGAACTTGACAAGATCCAAAAGAGATTGTCATCCATGTCCGTTCAGGAGGCCACAAAAGAGACTAGCAGCGATGAGGAGCCCACATATAGGATGGGTTCCATACGACGCCTGAGTGCTATGAGAATGATAGCACCTCAAGAAGAACCAGAAGTCCGATATCTTTCGGCAATGCGAGTGATGGAGCCTGAGAAGAAGGCAACATCGAAGAAACAAGCTCGCACCAGAAACCCAGAGAAGCGGGAGATGAAACCCATGGAGTTGGCAACATCCCAGATACACACCCGCCAAAACCAAAATCAGTCACAAGGTTCGAAGCAAAGAGCGACGAGCCCAGAGACACCAAAGAGACACCAAAGAAGAACCTCCCAAGAGGGAGGAAAAACAGTGGTTGAGCAAACAACGCAGGGCGCATGCAAGGGATTACAAAGAAAATGGTCACCCAAGAGGCACCAGCCACAACTTGAAGCTCTCCACCACAGTCTCAAGGAAGCAGCTCCCCAACAGATGATGGTGGAAGCAGCTGTCCCCCTTAATTCAACAGATTCCACTCCCAGGAGGAAATTTAGAGATGAAGCTCTCAACAAGATGTTCGAGCCGAGCGACTCCAGAGACAAGCTCCTCGTCAACAAAGAAGATCCAGCTCAAGAGTCAGATAAGATTCCAGAAGATAGCCGCACCAACGGCGCATCCGAAAATTGAGATAGTTTAGGGTTTTCTAATTTTGATTGTAACTTTTGTAAGTCGACGAGGTCGTCGACGGCTTAAGTGGGGGAGGATGTTAGAATCCAACTCCTTTTGATGTATTAGATTCCATTTAAGTGCTTTCCTAGAGTTTAGGTTATGTTTTCTTAGCTTGAGGTCCCATTATTGTGTTACTGTCAGATCAGTGTTCACTAGGGATTCTCCTTGTATGTCATTTAAAGCTCTTTAGAGGGCGAATGATAAATGAAATCTTAAAGCCTTCTACCAAGTGTTGCCTTGCTTTTATGCTTGTTTGTTGTTAGACCTTTATAGATATTGTGTCTTACTTGCATATTAGCTCCCCTCCAACCCAACTTGATGCGCTAAGGACTCATGGTTCGGACCCGCTTGTGCCCACTTTGAAGTATCGGCCGTCACAAGCCCCGACCACCCGCACTCCGTCGCCCAGATAGACGTGAGTGCTCCTGAGATTCTATTGCCCGCTTGTGTTGCTTTGTGCTCACAAGCCCCTCTTCCGCTCAAGGCTAGCGTTCTTGCCGCCAAAAGGCTAGAGTCGCCACACGTTTCAGGGTCCAAACTCCCAGACCGTGACACCATGCCCGCATTAAAGAATCCTCGGGAAACCTTTCTCTGATGGGGATTGCAAGGATAAGTTGTTGATCACGATCATTAAAGACTTTTTCCACCATACCCAAGTCCCAATTTTTCTCGTCCATGTTGATCAAATCAGCCACATATGTACAGCCCTCTGCCCTGTTCTCACTAGTAGCAAACCGTCCCTCATCATCAAGAAGCCACGGATCTTCCAATATTTTGATCTTCCTGCCATTGCCAACCTTCCAAAGCATACCATCAAGAACAAAAGCCTTCGAACTCCACAAATTGCGTCAAGAATAGCTCGAACAAGTGCCCAAAGCCGATTCAAAAACTGAGCAATTTGGATAGTATTTGGCTTTAAAGACTCGACAGAGAAGAGAATCCCCTTGAGTTGCTAGTCTCCAAAGCTGTTTGCCCAACAATGCATCATTAAATACTCCCAAGTCCCTAAAACCCATGCCTCCCAGCCACTTGGGTTGACATAAATACGCCCAACTCTTCCAATGTATTTTCCTCTCCTTAACATTTGAGCCCCACCAAAATCGAGCCATAAGAGAGTGTATTTCGTGAATCAGAGATGATGGGAATTTATAAACTCCCATTAGATATGTTGGGATGGCTTGAATGACGGCTTTTAAAAGGACCTCTTTTCCCGCTCTAGAGAGTAACTTCTCCTTCCACCATTGAATTTTCTTCCAAATCTGGTCTTTCACAAAAGCAAAGACGGCTTTCTTTGACCTCCCCACCTCTATCGGTAACCCCAAATACTTCACATGATTATCTACCATTTCCATGCCAAGAGTCGAGCTAAGAGTAACTCTAGAAGTAAGATCAACCCCCTTACTAAAAGAAACCTCCGACTTTTCTAAATTTTAGTTATTAGCCATATTTTAGTAAGATCAAATATGCGCGCTATAGTTAGCCATATTCTGAATCTCTTTCGTTTTGGACTTACATTAAAATTTTAGTTATTAGCACTATAATGAGAGAAAATATATAAAGAAATATATTTAGGGGTATAAATGTCCACACATTATTTTTAATAGATAAAATAAAGAGGTAATTATCATTAATGAGGGCAAATAAGTAAATAAACATTTTAGATGGTATAATTGTCCAAACACTATTCATTTAAAAAAACTTGTACATAATTAATGAGGGTATATATGTAAATACACATTTTAAAGGACATAGTTGGCAAAAGACTATTCATAAGAGTAGTTTTGTACTCCGTATTTTTTATAAGGTAGGGATATGTAAATTTTGGGGGAATTAAACAATATTCAGGCTTTTTATTTTGCCTTAAAATTTCATATATTTAATTTTTTTTATACTTATTAATTAAGGACTTTTTCATGTAATTCCAAACTCCAAAGTGCTTCCACCGTGAATTTAAATTTGCATTACTTTGACCTTTTTTTTTTTAAGTTTTATTTCGAGACATAATTTTGACCATTAATATTTTTAATTATCTATTAATAAAATTGTAAATACGAAAAATTAAATTATGAAAACAGACATTATGACTAATCTAATGATATATTTCATAGTAACATCCTTAACATGTATTCATTTTATAATATTTTAAAAAATTATACTCTGCAATAAAAGTGTAAATAATGTATAAGTTAAAGTAGTGTAAATATTAAAAAATAGAGAGTGTAATAAGATTGTGTATTATATATGGAATATGAATTATATCCCTAAACAAAATGAGAAAAAGAAAAACTCACACTAGTTAATTTGGATTTGGTAGATATTATTCCAAATTACTGTGTGTTAATATTTTAATATGGGTACAATTTGAACTAATATTAGGTAAATTTGGATGAGTGTTGTCAGTTCAAGGCATATATAGGTGATAGGTCTAAAATTTGACTGCGGAATGGAATAAACGAAGCGTAGACTTCTTCTAATTGCGGAGTAATCGTATTTGATTGTTGATTTTATTGGTGGGAACAGTTGATATTCTTTGTGCATAGACTTTTTTTGACAACACAAACACAATTATAAAAGAAAACGAACCAACTTTGACTTCAAAAT